ACTCTTTCCACTCACAGTTGGCTCACTGAACAGTCTTTATGTCTTGTCTTTTTTTTTTAAGCTATAGAGAAAGATACACGAAAACTTAATAAAAATACCATTAATACACAACTACAGAAGGAGTTTTGGAAGGTTCCTCAACAGCATAAAGCAAAAGTCTAAATCACTTGCAACAAGATGTGAGTACTAACTCCCTGAGCAGCTCTGGAAATCCTCTTGTAGAAGACTGCAAGGGGGAAAAAAAAAAAAAAAACCAAACCAACAAACCATAGCTACGTAACCTATTTCATGATATCTCATTGTTGTGATAAAGAACAAACAGATTTCATATGGTAAATGTAAGAACATGTCTGTTGCTTAAGAACTATCACTGCCAAAAAATAAACTCTTTCCACAGCCTTTGGCAGATAAGAGTAATATTAAAGTTACCAAATAAATTTCTAATATTAATGTATATGAAATTGTCCTGGTTTTGGCTGGGATAGAGTTGTTTTTTTTTTTTTTCCTTCTAGAAGGAGAGAAATAATTTCCATTATTTATTTTCAGTCAACAGGTTTGCACTGTGCTAGATCAAGAGGTTTGTTACAAAATAAAATAGCAAAAGACATACAGAGATTCTCTTCAGGCCCAGGCACTCTAGAAAATGGAAGTAAACAAGAAAGTATATCGACTTCAGCTCTTGAAACCACTGAAGGAGGGAAACTTTTTCAGAGTACTTGACACGAAACTACGATCTCAATATCTGTAAATGCCTCCAAAGATGGAAACAGAGCACTGACATCATATATCCTATGGTGCTTTCCCCCAGAAATACACAACATAATGTAAGTGTCTTTCCTGGGAATGGCTTTATCTACTCCACTGATGCACTGTCCTTATGACAAAACTAGATAATGAAAATCAGGGCTACCTGTGCTTTACTTGAAATGAGCAGTCTTCAGTGCCCACTTCTGCTGACCCCTGTAGGAGCAGCTAATTAGTGTTTCTTTTACTAACAAACATTCTACATGTAGCTTTTTACTCTGGAAAGCAAATCTATAAAAAGGGTGATGTCCTTCTCAACACATGCAATCCTGTTGATGCATGTCTCCACAATCCTAGACAACTGAATGATCCATGCAAAAATGCTCAGGGTTACTCATTCTTCTTAGGCAGGTCTCTTACGGCCTCATGAGCTAGCATTAGCCAAGTATGAGCTACCATACATATATGTATCCTACAGCCTTCCTAAAGACTACAGCTGAGAATAAAGGGTTAGCCTCAGCATTGTCAATGACATAATGAGAACACAGTTATTAAAAGTATTACCAGCAGCATGCCTAAGAGAAAAAGCTTGTCTCGCTCTCAGAAGACAAGTTACATTTACACAGCGAGAACCTGGGGGGGGGGGGGGAAGTTTGGATTTTTTTTTTTAATTATATGTTAGGCAGACATATTTGATCTTGAATTTTTAAAGTTATATCCATGCTGCTTTTTCCAGTTTCAAGACAAGAACACCTGAAAAGTGAGTTTCTGAAATACAATTTTTTTCCCAGTAAATTACGTTTGTAAAATAAAATCTAAATCATTCTACATCATTCTGAAGAGTGCCTGCTTCTAAATCAACAAGGGGATACTGAATTTTACAAAAATATATGATGTAGGCAGAACTTCAATTTTCCCTAGAAGCTTCAAGCTTCACAAACAGTTTTTTCTTTCCTACAGCACAGAACAGTAAAGCCAGCTAAATACACGTAGAGGTTCTGGTTTGTTTCTCTCCTTTCTTTATAGAACAGGTATATTTCAGTGTTATGAGAGGGACTATCATCCAGCTGTAGCAGGACAATGCTTATAATTCCGAGTTATTTCAAATATGAGAAACCCATTATCATGACAGCACAACTTGTCAGTCTCAGAGTTAGGTCGTGAGGGGAAGAGCTCTACATTTCTTCACTGGGAACACAAGCTCTTCTCAGACAACAGTAGAGCCCCTTGTTTTAATCACAGCCTTGAACTGAAAACTGTTTATTCTTCAGTTCATCCTAGTAACGACTTTCACTTTTCACTTTGCTATTGGTCTGTCAACACTTCTTTTATAGGACTACAGACAAGAGAGATGCAGTATGACCATAAAAGCTTTGCTTATATGCTGCTGTATTAAGGCCTCCTTGTTAAGTTGGTCAGTGGTTGGGTTTTTTTCTCCAAAGAAAGAAAAAAAAAAAAAGGTTTAAAAATCTTCCCTGTGATTAATAAAAATACCAAATATTATTGGTTGAAGGCTTTGACTCATTTGGAGACAGTTTTAGCTAACATGGCAGAAGTTACCATCTTCAGACACCTACTCTGTCCCTCAGCAAGACATATCTCCTTTTGCACCAAGGAAGACTGACTAGACAATGTCTGGGACACTGCAGTTCAGTCCGATATATTTAATATTTGCTTAAATAGTGGTGGTTCAGGCATAGATAAACCTGCCACAAATCATAAGCCTAACTCAATAACCTCAAATACCCTGAGCTCCCATCCTCTTCAAAAAACCAAAAAAGTCGAAGTACGTGTTTTTAGACAGACCTTTATCAAGGCCTACAATTCCGCGTACTGTGAATTACTGGGTTTGGATACCCTGCAAATGCTTGGTTCATTAGAATACACAGGTTTTTAACTTTTTTCCCCCATTATGTTTAACATTTAACATTGGAAAAAGATTTTACAAAATTCAACGCTTTGTGAAATTGCAGAAGCTTTGAAAGATAATTGTAGAAGAACTAACTAAACATACCAGTCTAATAATTCATCTAACAGAAACATTGTTATACTGGTATAAAAAAAGAAAGGTTTGTGGTTCTTTGAATTATACCAGCATAAATATTCCTCAAATCAAAGCACTGACTTCTAAGCTACAAGGATTTCAGACCATGAATATTTTCTAAAATCTAAATTGCTGGCATTCACTTGGTTGAATGGTAGTCTAGGGCTCTGTAAATATTAGACTGAGAAAATTCCACCAAAAATAAATCTTTACACAGTCACTTAAAAAACAGTACAGAATGCCAAAAACAAGTTACTCATGAAGGAAAATGGCCACAGCATTCCTCTGGGCTGCTAGTTCTATGCCAGAGGCAGGAAACATTAGCCTGGACTGGCACAGCAGAGGGAACCTCAGTTTCAAGCTCTAAACCAGATTACCTACAAAAGCTGAGTAAGCCACCAAGTTATCTCTGCTTCCATTTCTCCTTTCTTAAAATGGAAGTAACGCTATCACACAATGCAGAAAGAAATCTCTTGTCATTAGACCTCAAATCATTGCTAGATTTTCTGCAGCATATTTGGATTTGCATTTAAGTGCATTTAAAGACAAGGTTCGAATTTGGCTCTGAATTTTCTAACTCCCTGGGGTTAGAGTTGAATCTCAATACTAATTTAACATAGCAAGCTGCTATTGGAGCAAGGTGCCATATGTCTGTTTTTCTCAGTCAAATGTGAGAACTGAGGAAGTTCTTTTTCCTCTCTGACTTCGCACTTACTGTTATGGATTAACAGATGTCTTTGCAGAGAGAATGGGGTTCGGAACAAAGCTTTGCATTCCTCACACTGGAACGGTCTCTCTTCAGAATGGGTCTGCAGATGAAAGACAACATGTCAGAGGAAAGGCTCAGGGAAATCAATTAGCTGTCATTACAGTAATCATAGCTAATTTTCTAGACTGGATTCAGGAGGGGATATCATAGCAATTTGAAGCATCAGGGGATGAAGAATTAAAACAATCATTCTGCCATTAACCAGAATCCTGAAAGTCAGCATAGCAGCTACTTAATAAATGAACCTTCCCAGTCCTCAGAAGCATTACATGAGGTGTGCATGTAAACAGAAACAAAAATATAGAATAACCAGGCAAAAAAAACTTACAAGCTCAGTTGCATTGCTTCATCAGTACTAACACTGGCCTTAAGTACTTACTAGTATGAATAAATGCTTTAAAATTGAACACATGTACACCACACCCTTTTCTCAGTTAAGTCTGAAGGTAAAACTGATCTGATTATCTCAAGATAGTACCTACAATTTGGCAAAGAAAATTTCTCAAATCACGAGACTAGTCTTACATGTCCTTGTTTCAGCTTCTTGTATTAAAAGAAAAAAAAAACCCAAAACCAAAAAGCCATAGAAGCATCAGTACCAAGATTTTTGTTTGCTGTAGAAAAACTCATTGCAGCTGAGAAACAGCCTCAAAGTTATAAATAAAGTAAAAGGCTAAGCTTGGATGAATCTCTCAAACTGCAGAGTTGCTGAAACAGGTTTCTTTTCTGGAGCTTAGGAAACATCCAGCTTCTTTCTATTTCTGTAAATTTCCAAGCACTTTCCCTGTTTTCTGGTGTTAAGTGTTGTCTCACTGTAGATAGTAAATTAATCGGTGCAATTTATTATCTACCCAATTTCCTACTATTTTTGCAAAGGAAAGCAAGTTTTTAAAGCATCAGTGTCTAAACATTGTATTAGTTCACAAGGATCTTAAGTAGAAGCTGCAGTGCCAAGGGGAAAAGGGGGACAGACAGACAGTATTTTATAATACGCACGAAATTAGGTAAATCAGTTAATTTTGCAGACTATGGGTAAATATTAGCATAGTACATATTTATATAATCTATTTCTGCTATTCATAATACCATACAACATGTATAGCTATCCCTTAAACTACGGAGAAAAAAAGTGACTGTGGGGAGTCAGCATAATTATTTAAATGTAGACTGAAGGCCTTGAACCTAGGTTGATTTTAACACAAATGTCCTCTTACATACACAACAGTACCAAAACATTAGAGTACCTGCAATGGTATACAGCATCTTTAGATTCAAAGTCAATTCCTTGACCTCAGCCTATGTCACTTAAAGCAAAAAGGCAACTGAAGCACCATCAAATGTGTGGAATATATCACACATTACATAAAATCTGCTGAATGTCCAGCTTCTACAGGTTTACATCACAGTTTGCATTAGTTGACACCCTGCTTGGAAGTCTCAGCAGTGAGGCCAAGGATTGACAGGACATGAAGAGACTGAACTACCTTCTCACCTCAACAGGTGGTTCCTCCAGAACAGGGTTGAGACATATTGACGAGACACTGTGGGGAAGCTCGCAGTGCTGCTGTCTGTGCTGTACCTGTTCTGTGGATAAATAGAAGGGTTCAGTCTCTAGGGCTGTCAATCTGGCACCTTTCACGAGCGCAAAATTCATGTTGTTTATTTAAAAAAATGCCCTGCTTTAGAACACTCACCACTTGAGTGATAGTTCTGAAGAGCACAGTGACTTGTACAGAATTCCTTCTTAGCATCTCCTTGACAGTTCTCCTAGTCTTTTGACTAACATACAGGTATTCATCTGCACATTTTAACTTCACTACAAAGAAAAACACCTAACTAGGCATGCCCACATGCAAGGGTACACAGATCATCTGCCTCTTTTGTGAATGGTCGAGAAACAAGCTAGGTCTATTATAATAAGCCATGCAAAACTTAATGAGGAGAGGTATCCCCCCAAACAAGCATATTAGTTCTAATACCATCCTTTTTTGTCCATTCAGTCAGAGCAGGGGACAGCCGTACGATCAAAGCAACTGAGGATGGGCTCTTACAGAATATTTCGTGGCAGCCTTTCCTACCATAGTATTCGGGGAGGCTTAAATCCAGCCCAAGGCTACTTATTCCCAATACAGAAACTGAGGGAATACAGTCGTTTCAATTCATTATGCTCCCCAGGACCAAATAACCCTGGATTAACCATAAACCCTTTAAAATCCTGTGTCTGCTGACCTATTTCTGCTCACTGTCATACCCTCATATTTTATTTTCTGAACTCATCCTCTATGCATAGCAACAAAGGAGTAGATGGAACAAAAATTCACTTTCTCCTATATGAAAGTAATCTGCATTATACGGCAGAGAAGACGCACCTTCATCCAATCTCACCTGGATGAAAGGGGACTACTTTGATCCGTAGCACAATCCAATACTACATTTGCCTCTTAGTTTCAGACACTATTCTCTTCCCTTGTCACAAAAATGGAACCGTATTCTTCATATGACCACTTAGTCATATAGTCTGAGCTTTTTCAAAAGACATCAGAGCTAGTTCTGCATCACATAACACTTCCCAGCGCTGACAACTCCAAGCAAGTGACAAAGCAAGCTTGCACATGCACCTACACAGAGCACAGAGCAGTGTAGTACTTGTATGCAGAAGCAGCACATAAGAGAGGGACCACAGGAAGCCTAACAGTTCCTGCCTCTCAGATCTGTAGCTATAAGGGCTTAGTGAGTGCTAAGCTAGGGTTCACATCACAAGGCTCCACTGAACAGAACAGATAGACTCTTAGCAACTCCACTGTATCTCCCAGTGAAATCTTGTGAAATGTGAGGAACTAATCTCCTTCTGCACCTTTGAAATGACCCAACATTGACCCACATCTGAAAGATGTTTAAAAGCACATGTTGTGGGAGACATTTTTATTCTGATACTTCCAATGCAAAATCAGATTAAATAACCCCCACAAACACAGAAACAACTGCACAAGAAGTTTCCATATAAAACACAAAACAAGAATTCAAAGGCACAAAATATATATGTATCCTGCTTCTTATTATGAATAGAAAGTATGTAGCTCTGCTGCAAAACCCAAAGAGTTTTTTCAAGCATGTTGCTATCAAACTTGAAAGCATGTTTTCTGTTAAATGCTGATTTAAGTGGTTTTAACTACTCTACCCATCATTCCTACTGCAGATTTCTAAGCTCACTGCTACTAGCACAGCAACTGCACCCTGGAACTCAAAAAAGCACTGTGAAATTATTCAGAGTCCAACTTTTCTTCCTCCAAAAGAAAATGAAACCTAGGAGGACATCTTAATGGAATACACATCTAAAGAATCATTAAAAACCCAAGCTGAAAAAATACACAGAAGTATGATACACAGTAAATGTTTAAATTTCCACTGTTACTGGATCAACATTCCCATGAACAAGCAAAAGAACTGTCATCCTCTTCCCCTAGTAGTAGTGCAGCCCTCCCAAAATCATGGCACTTAAAACTATTTTGGCATCCCAAACTACCACATCCTTGACTTACACTCTACAATTGGTTTTGTGTATACACATCTGTACTCCCCTCCATTATCTACTACCTCTCCTTGTTTACATTGTTTACTCAATGGAGAGAGGCATGTCTAAAAAAGCAATTCAAGACATCAGTCTCCTGCCTGTCATGCTCATCTCTTCATTTAGCAAGTGAAATTAGAGACCTAAATGTGGATGGGTGCATATTCACAGCCGTTTGGATAAACTTTATGTAAACACAGGAATAAGTTTCTTTCATTATAGGACAGGGTTGATTTACAGCCAGTACTATGTGCAAACAGGTTCGGGAAATAAGTATTCCAACATGCTTTAAGGAATTCTGTCAAAATCAGGTACTCGCTAAATCTGTCTAAATTTTAATATTATTCCCATTAAGCGGAGCCTCTAATCCTTGCTTATGCTAGTGGTGCTGCTGCTTTAAACACAGAATTGGGTCAAAGTGTTTACTCATTCGTACTTAACCCTGAAGTCCATTTTCAGCCCAAACTCCCTTCCAGTCATCAACTGCAAATTAACATAAGGAAACATGTAAAAAGTATTCATTTAAGATATAGAAGTATCTTTCCAGACGGTACTTCATACATTTTCCTTAGAATATATCCAGTTTGTGACATTCTGCCCATTCTTCTTAATAAAGTCCAAAACATAAGATACAATCCCAGCATATATGGGAGCTAATCTTGTCCTTCAGCAGGCTTCTGCATGCTTTCTGGTTTAGACAGTCATCACCATTTCATCCTATGAGAGGCATTATTATTACTCTTACATGATTTATGGCTGAAAGTGCAAGAGATGGTGCAAAGATCCTGTGCCAAATTCCCAGATGGCATATAACATGAGCCAAACTGTGAAAAACTTGTAAGTATGGGTATATCATTTCATCAAAAGGGGGAAAGAAAGGGGTAGTATTTTAAAAATGTAAAGAAAAAGAAAAGAAAAGAAAAGAAAAAAGAGCAAAGGGTTCCAAATACCGGGCACAAAACCAGGCAGGTAATTTTTTTTTCTTTCTTTCTTTTTTACAGTCTTGTAATTCTGAAACAGCAGTCATGGATATAGCCTTGCCATTAAAAATATAACCCCAGGTTAAAAATAATGACAGGCATTACAGAAATTAGGCCAAGCAGATTTGAGCTTAAATCAACAGAAGCAGAGCATCCCTTCGCGAGCCTGTTTTTCAGGTAACGTTTCTTCTGATGTTGTTTTAATGTGTGAACACTACCCAGTGCAAATCCAGTATAGTTTGAAAGCATCTGCTGCTAAGTCCAACAATGACTGCAACAGGACTACACTCAGCTTTATTCAAATATGGGATTTAAAAAAAAAAAAAAAAAAAAATTGAAGACATTTCACAACAGTTACATTTTTAATTTGATAACCTAATATTAAAAAAAAACCAACAAAAAACCCCCAGAAAAGTCAAAATGGGGATTTATTTGATGCTTTTAACCAAGCAACTGTGATTTCCTTCTGCTTATTTCACTTTCTTTTTTTTATACTAGAATCCATTTAGTATTTTGAGATTTTGGATATAACAAAGAACACTAAAGAATACATTCTCCAATACTTTAATCCCATGTTTATAAGCATGCCAGAGCTTAATGATGAACCACTTAAAAGAAAAAAAATCTGCAAATCTGAGGCTGGCAGACCTGTAAACAACAACAGCAGAGTGCTTTACCTTCTTGTGATTCTTGTAAACATTTCTGTGGGCAAATCCCTTTCCACAAAGCTTGCATTTATAAGGTTTATCTTCACTGTGTATTATTTTGTGTGCAGTCACTTGATCAAGTCGTTTGAAGGACTTATTGCAAACCTCGCAGGTGTAGGGGCGTTTTTCTGCAGAAAATGAGTGGGGGACATTTAATCTCCTGTTTATACAGGGGGAGAAGATGAAAGGCAGAGACAGTCATCTCCTCAGAGAGATTTTTGCAATTAAGTCAACCCAATTAAGATTAAACCAATTAGAAAGACATCTAATGCCCTTTATGTTAGACAGTTATGTCACTTCACAAAAGATGAGCCATGGTGTATCTCGAGAAATTGGCACATTCTTTGCAATAATCATTGCTAAAACTAAATTCTGATTAATTAGCTTAAATCAAAAGAGAATGACTTCAAAGAGGAAAACTCTGTTTCCAGATTACAAATGTGAAAGAGGGCATGACAGTTTAAATGTTTTAAAACTTAATTAACAATATACATATTAGCTTCCAGAACCAAAAGTTCCTATGCAAAAAGCCTTTATGCTTCAACTGGTGACTGCAACTTAACTATATTAATGCTCATCCAAAAGTATCAAAAGAAAGCTAGGAGCCTCTGAGATACAGATTATGTTACAAGAAATAAGCTTTTGGTGCGGACTGATACCAAGAAAATAGTTCCATTTCAACAGCCTGTGCAGCTGTAAAAACCTGCATTTTTTAAATGCTAATGTATTTGACAGAACAATGTTTGTGTTTCTGTTGTGTCGGTTGATGTTTCTAATCACTGGTGAAAAACATAAAAACGCTAGATTGCAGTGATCAGAAATCCTGGCAGAGCCAATCTGTGCCATACTGCCAAACCTACGGACAGGCCACTCCCTGCTCACAGTGACCTGTTCTGGCAGAGGACAGGCACAATGAAATATTTCTGTGTGGTCTACGAAACAGTGTGGCATATGAGCTGCCTTCCTCTGACTAGAAACTATGAGCACATAAGTCCACCTTTTTTTTTTTTTTAATATATATATATATATGTATGTATGAATGAATGTTTCCCTTTTTATCACAAATCTCTGTCTGACAGCATACCCCAGCTCCCATCCCCTTCTCTTCAACATGAAATTTCAACTACCAGTTCTTCACCTCCTCTATAAGCCAAGTAGCAATATTTTCCCCCATCCCAGCTAACTGACATCATCTACCCCAGCTAGCATGAAAAAATAGCTTGACAAAGCAGCAATAGGAAGAAGACTACAGCATTACACTTGGATTTCTGAAAGGCTTAGAAAGGATAGCTTAGATGGTTTCCTTGGAACCTGAGATTTGCTTGAACAGCTCAGGACAACACAGAATTCATCAAGCCTTCTATAAGAAACTAATTCAGGTAAAATTCAATATACGTTAAATACATATACACATATACATAGGTTTGTGTTATTTTTGTACGTTACCTGAATGAGTTATCATATGGCGCTTTAGCTGGTTAGCCGAAATAAATTTCTTGTCACATTCCTGACACTCAAAGATCTCATGGACCTGCAAAATGAGTGTTTAATGATAATTAAATATGTGTCTCAAACAAGATCACACATCTTACATATACAGAAATTCTCTAACAGACTGTAACTATTTCTTAGCCAGTAGCTATACTAATACTCATGAATATTCTGTGATTTCCCCCTTGCTAGTCCCTTGGTGAACAACACTATCTCTCACAAAATAAATATTCATAATTGAAAACAAAAAATTATCACTAAAACTATACTTAGAAACACAGGTTATGCAAATTTGCAATATCAGATCCATTTAAAATATCATTATTATGAGAGCATTAAAAAAAAAACCCAGACGCAGAATACCTTTTCAGAACATTTCCTTCTGGTCAATAAGACATAAGTAAAAATAACACAGTAACTTCATAACTGCTGTAAGAATTTTAAAAAACAACAAGTACTATCAAACTCTTTCAGGACTGTTTCTCTTAAAAGCTTTTAGAGGCAAGACAGTGGAGGGGCAGCAGTGTCTCAAACTGTAAATGCAGCAAGCATTAGCAGGATTTTCAACATCACAGCACACAATGTCATCAAGGACTAAATGTTAGAAAAATAGAAGAGGCAGTTGAGAGCTGCAACTTCAGATACTCGATTAAAAAAAAAAATATCCTGTGTTATTTATTGTTCCTCAAAATCACAACACATACATAGTTCTCCACCTGTCAAGATTACCATTCACCTTCCACTCTGTATTACATTTGCCATCGGCAGCCTCCCCTCAACCTAGTTACAGTGCAACTGAACATACATACATTTCAGCTTTTTGGAACTGCAGTCTTAGACAGCAAAACTTCTGGAGAGAGATCACATTTCATAAAGATTTTTTTGAGAACTCTATAGACTTTCTGTAAGAGAATCTAGCAGCTAAAAATAACAAATATCAAAGGTTCAGCACAATACTCTAATGAAAAACATTTGCAGACAGCACAGTAAAGAAGCTCAACTAAGACTTCCACTTAAAACAAACAACAAAAAAAACAAAAGGAGATTCTCCATAAGTATTCTGCCTCACCATGTTTTTATGCTGCTACTCACAAAATAACTTCAGAGCAAATTAAACGTTTTAATAAACTAAAAAGTGGTTATGCCACTTCCTAAAATCTCTGCAAACATGCACACTTTGGACAGTGATGCTTAAGAAAATGCTCAGACAGAATCAAGTGGTAAGCTCAAATGAAGATCATTCACTCTAAATATTCTGTTTACCCAGCTGCATTTGACATTAACGTCTCTTATATGCACACACAATCTACTACTCTACCCCTTCCCAAAAGATCTAAATTTTTTACTTAGATTGTTGACTGAAGTTCACATAATTCTGCAACCAAGTGCTATCAGAATCCCCTGACACAATTATTTGAAATAACTTGTAAGGTATTCTTAAACATAATATTTAATACATCAGAACCCAGACTGTGCTTTAACACTATACAAATGCCTGATTTCAACTTATGAGCATTGTTTAATAAACAGTCTCATTGAATACATTTGCGTCAAAACAGAGACTTCCGTGCATGTGCATTAAAAAGCTACAGCCATCAAATATTTATTCTATAACTGATACTCTTTAATCAATTCTTTAGACAAGAATCAGACACAGACTTGTGTGCACATGCATTAAATAGCTGTAGCTATCAAGCATATATTCTATAGCTGGCACTCTTTAATCAGTTCTTTAGAAAAGCGCACAATTAAATGGTAAAACAACAGTAATAAAATACAGCAAATATTTTTATGAATAATGATATTCAAATGGATTTTCATTTTAAGAAAGCTTGTCAAATAATATGCTTTATGAATATAAAGGCTGTAATACCACAGACAAGCGCTTGTGCAACGATTTATTCATATAACAAAATGAGTCTCATTAGGGGGCTGTAATAGCTATCAACATAAACCTCTGTTACATTGAAGTCAGAACATACAATTGTTTCATAGGCATTTGAAGAGCTACACCTTCAGATAACAACTTGCTAAGGGCTATACAAAACAGCAAGCATCTGAACAAGATTAATATATGCTCAGATAAATATACTCCTTCATTCACAGGACTGACAATCTTGAAATTTTCATGAGCCCTACTGAAAAGCAAAAAGTCATTCGAAAGAGTTTTGGGGGTGAAACTAAGCTAAAACTTTGAAGATAGAAGTAATCCATGATCAGCTTTTCCAAAAACTAATTTGAATGTCAATCTACCGCTCCAAGAACTGGATGAGACTGTCTGTTGTAAGGCAGTGCTTTGAGAGAGCAAGGATATGAGAATATTGCATCCAACTGAAATGATTAAAAGTTATTGACAACTTTAAAGCGGCGTTCAGAATTTGGTTTCCTCTACTTTTCTATGTCTTTCATAGTGAGTGTGAAAAATAAAGATTGCACAGTAGAACAAAACACTGCCCAATGTTGAACAAAAAGAACAGGGGGAAAAAACCAACACAGAGATGCTTGAACTGGCAAGTGAAAAAAGGCAGGGGGGGTGGAAATCACAGATGATGTTTAAGAGTGACTCTCCTCACCATAATTTTGCAGGAAGTCCAGCTCTACAACAAAGTTAAGAAAGAATCAAGGATTTTTCATAAACAATAAAACACTCTCTATCTCTTAGAACAAACGATGAGTAGGATCCTTCTTGGTCCTGTCATTTTCTCTCCAGCAGACTGTGCTACAGCATGCCTCTTAATGGAATCTTACAGATTCAAGTAAGATATCTGCTAAGCAATCCAGAAGAGCAACAGCACAAACTAGTCTTACCAGTGAAGCACAATCCTGCATTTCAAACAGGCATTTGTTTTATGACCTTTTCCAAAGTCAAAAAAGCTTTACTGCCTTACACTCAGAGGTGTCCTTAATCTTCTTTCTTAACAGGAGAATTACCTACTTTACCAGTGAAAACACCTGCCTACAAAAAGTCAGAAACTCACCCCACAGCTGCACAGCCAGAAAGAGACATACATACCCCCCAGTCTACCTACAAGTACTGAAAGAGTAGCCCTGTCAATTCTGACTGCATCATCCTGGGAAAAGAAACCAGCAATGCTGCAATTTGTTTGAATTTTTCTTCCCTTTCCATTTACAGAACAGTGGACCCTCAGTGGAAAGGCCTGGCAGCCTGTGCTATTCACATGTATATACCCACTTTTAAGTTCCTGTGAGCAATTCAAATCCAAAACATGAGATACCTATATTCAAAGGTACAAAAGGATCCCTTTGGCAAGAATCTGCATCAATGAAGACAACACTCCCCTCACTTGCTTCCTCACTTATCGTCACTGAATGACGGAATTTTGCATTTTACTTAAACTTCAGAACTTAGTATCAGAATATAATTCAGATGGTGTTTCATTTGCTCTGGCAGTAGACGTCACAAACCTGCAGAAAGGAGATTTTACAACAAACTTTTGCATTCTATTACCCAGTCTTCTGTAAGCTCCTGTACAGCATTTCCTGAGTTGTGTTTGCTGGAATTTTTTTTTTTTATATACTACCATATCACTTAACAGCCCAAATCATGTACTACTATAAATATCAGACAGAAGGATGTCACTTTACAATTGGAGGATAAGACAAAGAGAACAGGTGGATATAGACAAAATAGAAAACAAAAAGGTACCACAAAAAGCAATAATATCAGTGGATCAACATTACAACTGTTGTTAAAGTTTTGTAGGCATCATGCAGGAGGAGGGTTGTATTATGGTAAGTAGTTCTGGAAATCAAATATGAAGTAAAAAACGTAGATGAGAGTATTCTGGGCAGAATTGAAATCACTAAGGAAGACAAGATCAGAATCCAAAATTATTTCCACACTCTGAATGAAGCTCCAAAACACTCAATATTTAGGAAGGAGAAATCAAATGCACAAATGCTACATGATGACCAACAGTTTACATAGCACCATTGCAGGAAACATTAATGAATTCCAAACAAAATATGAATAATGAGATTGATGCTGCTGTTAGAAAGCACTGTCATTCTGAGATGTATTAATAGCATATTCTCTGTGTTAATCAACTCAGGACAATCATTCCACTATACTTGGCACTACCAAGGGCTCAACTAAGCATCACTGCTCTTCTTGTTGGAGCAGCTGACTTCAGGAAGGATATAGGTGAAAAAGAGAGAATCCACAGGAAGAAAAAGCTTACTAAAAGAAAAAGTAGTTTGGAAAAACAGATGCATGGAGAAAGGTTGAGGTAACTGTGTTTGTACAGCCTAGGAATTGCAAATGGAGTTCATAACTTTGCAATATGGTAATTGTTACAAAGACGACAGTGGTGAATTTTTCTTGGTGTTCTCTCAGATAAGACAAAGAAAAACTAATTTGCAGTCAAGAAAAAGATCTAAGTAGGACATCAGAAGAAACAAACTCTGGACTAATGAACACATTCAAAAAAGCTGATGGCACTAAAGCTGAAAGTCAGAATACAAAGAGGTATCTACGGAGGTGGTAGAATTTTCTTTAGTGGAACTTTTCAGGAGATGAGACAGTGCATCCCTAGGATGATTTAGGTACGTGCTTACTCCCCTCTGCAAAATAGAATGGGCTAGAAAAATCTCCTGAGGTCTCTTCCAGCCCTACATTTCCTTGAATTTACTGAGATAAACTTAAAAAAAAAAAAAGCCGTGTCACCAAAAATTAGCATGATCCAAGCAACAGTCTGGAAAACAAGAGGGTAAGACTAAGGGACGGAAGATGACGACAGCAAAGTTTAATTGTGCATGGCTAAGAAAGGGCTTATCCTTAGACATTTAAGGCACAAGCAATCCACAAGACACACAAAGCTAAAAATGGGTTTAAATCAAAGATGACATGAAAGCTACAGATCTGAACGACTGTGTCTTCAGAGAGTAAACAGAGCTCTTAATCTCCCCTATAGCTACCCTCTTTACATTCTTTCTCTGTGTTTGTCAGATTTCTCTCTTTCTGTTGTTTGGACTTATTTTCTGTTATCTCCTATACTTTACCTTTCTGTTCTCTACTTTTATTTCCTTACATTGACAGGAAATGGATTAAAAAAAAAATCTCTTTTCTTCCCTGTTTCACCTATTATTTTCTTACTGGTTTTATTGCCTGTCTAAATATTTTTGGCAATGTTGGTGATGGATCCCGCCCCACTTTCTACAAAAGCAAAGTAATTAAAACAAACAGCATGAGCCCTCCTACATGCCGTCTCCTTCACTATCTGCTGCAAGTGTGTGAATCTGAAATACCTATTTTCTGGATGTCTTAAAAGAGGAGCCAATCAATTATAAGAGGAAATAAAGAAGTTTTATGCACAAAATCTTCATGGTGATTCTTAAGATGAGTAAGCGCTCAACTGATCTAACATCAGTGCTACTTGAAAAGCTTGTTAGTGTGTGTCATAGTGTCTGCACAGAATTACAATTACTGAAACAAAACAAATATTTTAACACTAACCACGATATTTTGCATTTTCTGGGCCACCATAAGGTGCACTGATGTGCAAAAACTGTCATTACATATGGCAGGGCATACCACAATTTGGTATGAGGAGGAACAAAGTATAGCCCTGTTAGACAAGAAATGCAGGGCATAGTAACACAAGGAGAAAAACAAACTGAAAAGGAGGGGCCCCACCATTTCCTTTGCAACAACATATTTTAATTGATATCATCTATATCCTCAATGGACTCAGGTTATAACCAGGGTTTTATTAAAGACTTACAGTTAATCTGATAAACAGTACAATGTAGCTTTTTGTAAAAACAGAATCTCCTGGGTTTTAGTGATTTATCAAATTAATCTTGCAGGGACTTCCTTTGGGTATAACGGATTCAGAATCTCATATTCATAGTCCATCTGTAGTTCTATATGAACCCCCTTATTTCCAATAGATGTTTTTAAAAACTGTTAACCCCTCCTGCTCTGGTTATGAAAGATTATGTGCATAAACAAAAAGACATTAAAAATTTGGTTTTGAGGAAGAAATTTTTTTACTACTGCATAACTAAATTACAAATAACACCCTTACTGGTATGTCTCAAAGTAGTAAGAAAGACTGATTGTATTTTGTACAAAAACCTGAAGGTTCGTGAACCTATTTTATGGTCTGTATCCTATCATTACATAACATACTCTCACATTTCGCTTAGTGTTTAAGAATGCTGAAGAACAGCAGGCAACTTTGACTTAATGTTGGAATGCATAAATGATACAAACACAAACATATTTATATTTGGTAAAAGATGCATTAAAACTTTAGGAAGATTTTTGGTTTAACCAATTGTGATTACAAAAATAAAGACCCACAATAAAATATATTGGTTTTGTAACCATGAAAGAGATTACCCAAAGGTTTGCATTACAGCAGCTTTCAAGTGACCTAAGCACCACGGTTTCACATCTTAGCGAAGTCAAAGCCTGCTGTGGGTTAGCCTTCATCTTACTGACCTTTCGATGCTCTTGGAGATTTGTTGCTGAGGAACATTTCTTATTGCACACTGAACACATCAGCTTCTTCCTAGAATTTCCTGAAACAGAAACAAAATACCACCAACATCTTAAAAAGGAAGTGCTAAGAAAGAACCTAAATATTTCCACTGAGTCTGTGACTTTTCACAGGTCATTTGACTGACATAAGATTTTTACATTTGTACCCCATCTTCAAAGTGCTCCATATCAGGAGTTCTCTGTGGGTGTCCAACAAACCAGTTACTGATGGAATGTAAATCAAGAAAACGAGAACAATAAAGAAAAAAACCCTTCAAATAGATGTTATCACACATCACCAATCCAATATGAAGGGCACAATTCACAACTAAGAACAACTCATTTTATAACTGAACAGTTGATTTCTTCCAGAAGTCAATACAGGAGTTAGTGCAGTAATGACAAAAAACATCCCAAACTGAAGTCAAAACCACCATTTCCCATTTTTCTTTATTCAGAAAGCATTACGCTTTCTGATATAACATATATAATAAATAT